AGTTGTAGCCGTCAGGGTTTGTGTTTATCTTTGCAGCAGTGATTATTTTCGGATAGTGGTGTGAGAGAGTAAAACGTTGGCTCCTGCTATTAATAGCACTGCAAGCAATAAGGCTGTTGCTCATTACTGACAGGTGAGATGAAATTAATGTTATTTCATCCTAGGCATGAAAAAGTGCAGAAACAAGACAGGCTCTGAGTCAATCCCCTTGGTCCAGAAAAGATGGGAGAGAGCCCCTCAGCCCTGGGGAGTGGCAGCGTGCGGTGGTTTTCCCAGGTTGCTTCCACCGCGCTCCGGAGCAAGTGCTGCTGGCAGAGTGGGTATGGTGAGGAGCTGCAGCTGGCTAGGATTGCTGAAAACATGTTGAGTTTAGGTAAAAAGCAAACTGAAGGAGACCTTCAGGGTTCCTGCTCTGAAACTGGAGGGTTTGCCTAGAGGAGAGAAGGTCTCAGCCCAAGGTCAGCAGCACATGGTGGGACCCCAAAACAGCTTTCAGTAGCAAATCCCCATCCGAGTGGGATGCAGCTCCCTGGAGGAGGCATTTGACAACCCCATGGGTGAAAGCTGCTCCTGGGCTTGTAGCCACCTTTGGAAACTTGAGGTGTGTTTAACAGGCTGAAGGATCTGGCCACTGGTGATCCTCAGAGCAGGCGCGGACGCGGGGTGGGCAGCAGGGTAAAAGTCTTGGGGACTAATGGCACAGGTGTAAATGAGAGCTGAATACAACTCGCATTGTTTGAGCAGATGCATCCTGTCTGCTGCTAATTATAAGTGTTGCGTGCACAACACACACTGGGAGATGTGCCAGATACTATTTCTTTTCACGTTGAACTCAAAATCATTATAATTAAGCTTTAAAGTTGTAAGTAAAAACTAACAAGGAGTGCAGGTTTGCTGTCATGGTGCTTGCAACCGGGCTGGTCCCTGCTGGGGTGGCCGGGTATGAGGGTACAGCCTCCACCCTGGAGGATGGTCAGAGGGGGCCAGGGGTGTGAAGGGCCTTGTGGGCTCTGCTGTGGCAGGCACGGCCAGATTTGGGTTTTAAATAGGCAGAAGACCTAAAAAATACTGGAAATGTGCTGTTTTACAAAGGCGGGAAGTGTGTTACTGGTTGAGCTTTAGCAGCCTCTCAGGCTTGGTGGGCACAGAGGAGAGGTGCTTGCTAAGAAGGGAAGATCAGGAATAAAAGCAGGAAGCAATCAGGGAAGTAATCGTGTATCCTCGAGCCATGAGGAGCCTAGGTTGGTGTCTCTGGTTTGAGGCAGACGAGCCAGTCTTGCTGAAGAAGCAGCTCCAGGCGGAGTTGCTGCACACAGGGCTGGGTGACAGGGACATGGTGGCTCTGCCACCAGCTGCAGCTCGGTGGGCACCAGTCACTGGCCGCTTTATGGCACTTTTTGGGGCTGCCTCAGGACCAGATGGGTGCCGGGGAACGGCACCGTGTGCCCCCGGGGGGACATCCCCGGGAGTTGTTTCTCATCTCTGCTCCCCGGACACGGGGACTCGTGAATCCCCTTTTTGGGCTATGCCACGGGAGCTGAAATTGGTGGCTGTGCATGTAGGGGTGAGGATTGCCGTGGCCCCGATCTCATGGTGTGCTTGCCGTGTGGCCAGAGGCCTGATGGATGGGCTGGGGGTGTTGGGCAGAGCTGCCACGTGTTGAGAGGTTTAAAAACAAGGCTGCAGAGCAGAGAGCAGTGAGCTCTCAGCCCTGTGATTTGTATTCGGAGGGAAGGCGGCTGCTGGGTTTTCAGCGCTTGTAGGCCTTCGTCTGAGGTCATGTCTGAATAAATTACGTTTTGAGATCCAGGTGAATGCAGGGGAACAAGCCACACTGTCAACGCGGCAGCAGAGGAGAGACATCTTAACTGCTTGTGATAAATGGGTCAAGATGGGTCCCAGTGTTTTAAAAATTAGCTGTTGACCTAGATAGTGACAGCGTAATGACTCGCTCGCAGCGGGAACAAAAATGAGCATCGCTGGAGCTGCACGTCGCTCTGGAGGCGGGGACGAGCCCGGTGTGCTGGGTTGAACCTGGGCTGGTTCCCCACGCTTCGTTTGTTCCCGACTTTTCCTCGGCAGCGAGGCTGTGCCGCGGGGAAGCGCAGAAGACCTCGGCTGTCTCTTTCCGATGGCGTCGCCGAGCCGCAAGGTGCATTTGTCCCGCAGGCAGCAGCTGGGGAGGCACCTCCCGCCGCCCCGCGCTTTGCTCTCCTCCAGTAACGAAGGACTCTCCATTGCCTTCCTCATTTTTCCCTCCCCATTTTGCAGGGGGAGTGGTGCCGTGTGCCCCTGAGCACCCTCCCAGGCTGTTCAGCACCGGTCCTTACGGAGGTGTGCCGCGCGTTTGGGTGGGGCAGTTGGCAGGGTTGATGCTAAAGAGGGAGCTGCTGCCCAAGTCAGGTTTCCTTCTGCTTAGCCCAGGGGAAGGAAAAGGCCAGGCCTGCGGCAGGTCGCAGCGCCCCAGGGGTTTCTCCTGTGATGGGATCCTCTTTTTCTGGGTTGAAGCCATGTTCCTCCTGAGCACTGAAAGGCCTTCGTGGCAAGAGACCTGTCAGTGCCCCTCGTTAGCTGCTGGAATTGAATAGTGGCTTTCCTGGGTGTTAATTAAGCAATATCCAAGCTAAGGTCACAGTTGCCCTGTGCTGACAACATTGGTCTTTTCAGTTCAATTCAACTTTTCCTTCACCAGGATTTTCTGTGGAGATCTTTAGTTAACACCTGAGTAATTCGTTACTTGAATTTAATTTTTTTTTTTTTTTTTTTTTTTTTTTTTTTTTTTAAGTCCCCGTGCTGATGGGGCCAAGTGATGCTGTAATACTCCAGAGTTAGAGCAGCTTCTAATTGCATCAGCTTGAATGTTTGTTGGCTGTTACGAGCAGTAGGATGGGAAGATATTGGTACTTCTCTCCATCAAAATCCAGTTTTATTTGAGCTTCGTAACTGGGGCTGTAGTGGGAGCACTTGGGACCCTGGGGTGCTTGCCCCAAGCCTGACTGGGTGCCCTTTAGGCTTCTGGACTTTGATTAGATGGGTTTTGCTTTGGCCTCTTGAAGGCAGCATCTGCCCTACCAAGCCTTCAGCCCCATTGCAGAGCGGCAGTGCTGACCCCCTGCACCCCCAAAAACGCAGCCTGTTCATTAAGCCGCGTCCTCGTCCCTGGAGCAGCACTGCCAGCTGACTGGTGCCGGGGCACAATTAAGGATGGGCTGGTTTTGCTTTTTGCTTGCTGAAACTCTACGTGGTTTTGGCCTGAGTTGCTTGAGCACCATGTTTCCAGCTCACGAGATGCTCTCGCCTGGCACATGCCAGCAGAGGAGGAGCAGCAGCTCCAAAGCAAGGGATGTCTAGCCATGAGCACCCCAGACTGTGGGGCAAAAGGGGTGGGGGTGAGCCTGATCTTGGCTGTGCACAGGAGATGCTCTTTCTGGGGGGTGTATATGGCATTTTCCCGTTTGTGCTTTGCCAGCTTTGGTGATCCTGGTTTCTCATCTTGCTGCCCAGTTTGGATTTTCGATTTGCAACTGTCTTAGGCAAGTCCTGCACTGAGCCCCTGAAGTCCTCAAGAGGAGGATGCACTCACATATCCAGATGTGCGTGGGGCGGAGGTCAGAAACAAGCCAGGCCTCATGGGGTGGAGAAGGGGCTGGCAGGAGGATGCTGCAGGGAGGCCAGGTCCTCGTGCTGTCCCTGCGTGCGCGGAGCAGTGCTCATGGCTCTCCAGGGTGCAGCAGCCAGCCCTGTTCGTCTGGCAAGGCTGCGGTCGTGGCTGTGAACAAACTTTGGTGCTGGCTGAAGGCAAAGTGTCCCTGAGGAAGAAGGACAATCTTCCTTTGCTCCTGGGGCTTGCAGCAATTTCTCTGCAGTGAATTGCCTGTCTCATGGCATTTCTCTTCCAGAGTGTTTTCCATGAAGGTACTGAGATTTGAGGAGGAGAAACGGCCGCACTAGTGCCTGGGTGCCCAGGGCTGGTGTCATTGCCCCCTTCCCTGGGACCCCGGAGCCATCAGGGCTGCTCTTGCATTGCACCCAAAAAGCAACATCCTTATGAGTCCCAAGAAGAGGTTGGGACCATGGCTGGGTGTCTGGCCCACAGCAGGCACAGGTTTCCCAGACGTAGGGAGGCTCCACCAACTCCCCGTGTCCCAGCCCTGCCTGCTGTGCCCTGGCACAGGGGCTCCCGCTCCTGACCAGCTCCGAGCTGGCTCCCTGCTGCTTGCCACAGCACCAGGGAAGGGGGCTCAGCCTTGCCTTCCCCTCATTGGCATCTGGTCCTGCCCTCCCCAGTCACCAAGGATGCTTTGTGCACCACCCTGTGCTTCTCCCCCGTGCCTCCCTGCCTGCATGCGGCCGGTCCTGCTCACTTTGGAGACCACAGGTCTGCCCGGAGCACATCGGCAGCTCTCGGCTGATGAGCCCGGTGGTGCTCTGCCCGCACCGCAGGTGAGCTGTTCGCCTGGAGATGAGATCCTCTGGAAAGCGTGGCTCCTAGTAGAGGAGGAGTTTGGCAACAAAGCGTACAAGGGGCTGCCGGCGCCACTGCCAGGTCTCAGGGTGGGATGCAACAAGCAGCCTAAGATGGGTTGTGCTGGGCTGGGAGGGGCCCGGGACTCATTGCAGTGAAGTTCATGGTGGGGCAGGAGAGCATGGCTGTGTGCGGGTCCGAAGTTACCCATCGTGTGCCACCAGGAGCTGAGGATCATGACCTGTCTGTGATGGCAGCCAAAGGCACTTTATAATACTTGCTCCCTAGGAATCTCACGTTTTGGTTCATAGTGACTTTCCTGTGCATTTTCCTCTGGAAAACAACATTCCCTTCACAGTGTCAAGGGAGAAGAAAGTTTGTTCCTTATTTACGGGGGTCATTAGTCCCCATGTGTGACAGAGGTGATTTCTGACCCCAAGCCCGGCTCCCGTCGGTGTGTTCGTAAGCGGGTGCCTTGTCTGTTTTGCCTGTCCGAGGTGGCCGGCAGCTACATGTGCTGCTTTATCTCCCGCAGGCTCCTGCTTCTGGGTCGCCGTCCTGGACGGCAACGTGGTGGGGATCGTGGCGGCGCGGGGCAACGAGGAGGACAACACGGTGGAGCTGCGCCGCATGTCCGTCGACTCCAACTACCGCGGCAAAGGGATCGCCAAGGCCCTGGGCCGCAAAGTGCTGGAGTTTGCCGTGCTCAACAACTACTCCTCCGTCGTGCTGGGAACCACGGCCGTGAAGATGGCAGCCCACAAGCTCTACGAGTCCTTGGGGTTCAAGCACGTGGGTGTCGTCGAACATTACGCCCTGCCAGGGATGACGCGCTCCTTACTGGAGAGAATGTTTTTCCAGCTCCGCTACCACCGCTACCGCCTGCAGCTGCGGGAAGAATAAAAAAAACCCAACCAACCAAACGAAAAAAAAAAATTTTTTTTTTTCCCTCCTCCTCCCCCTTCAAAAATAATAAATTGCCCTTCTATTTCTCGTCACTGTTGATTTGCCAATTTTAGGTTGAGTTTTTGTTCCCTCATGTCATCTTTTGGTTTGCTCCGTGCAGCTCGATCGTCCGGCCGAGCAGCGCTCCTTCCTCGCATGCTGTAGGTGGTGGCGCTGGGAGTCCTGCGAGCCGGTGGGGCAGAGCGGAGCGGAGCGGCGGCCTCTCCTTCCCAGGTACCTCCATAAAGCACAGAAACTTTAACTGCAAAATCGTACCACTGCTCTGGTGTACATAGTCTTCTCCTTTTCCAAATGTAAGTAACATAGTGATGCATTCGTAATAGTGCAGAAATATTACTTGAATGCAGTTTTCAGTATTTCATGCACCAGTAAGTAGAATATGCATTCGTCTTACCGTTATTTACTGGTTAATAGTTTTCAAAGAAAAGGTGGGGGGCAAAAAACCCTCGCCTGAACCCGCTTGCTACAATGCATGAAGAGGAAAGCGCGTGCACGCACTCAAACACATCGCACTGCCGCCACGGCACTGGTGTTGCACTTTTTTTGGATGTGCCTCATTCTGCCAAATGTCTGAGAGACCCTGGGTGCATCTGGTAACCACGACTCCGCTCCATTCCCCCCTCCTTCCTAAGCCAGCACAGACTCGGACCGGCTGAACTCTGAGCCCCGTTGTACCATAGCGTGAAGTTAAGATCAAACCTAAATATCTCTTGCGCTGTTCTGTAGCCACACGTAACCTGCAGTCCTGGGCCAGACTCCGCATGTGCGTTGGACTTTCTCTTTGCTGCCTTTTGGGGTTTTTTGGTTTGTTTGTTTTTATTTTGTTTTTAAGGGTTGGGTTTTTTTTTTCCTTTGTTGTTGTTGTTATTATTTTTAGTTTTGGCTTTTGCTGAATGGTGTCATTGAGGCGTAATGGAGGCTGCAGTTCCTATGGCAACACATTTGCACATTAATGTGCGCACCAAATCTAACCACTTCAGAGAAGCAACGTGTGACAGATAATAGCATTTTGGGGAGCGCCGGGGTGGGGGGGGAAACATACTTATTATCTTAACCAGCTGCTTGTTTGATAAATGTAGATGGCCTCACTGCAGCCTTCCATCAAAGGTAATTAACTGCTTTAATGATGTCAGATTTGTGAATTGTACAATGCAAAAAGCAATGCAAAGCAGATTCGGCATGTGTCTGTACCTGGTATGTATGTACAGTGCCTGCCAACTAAAGAATAACCAAGACTACAGCTTCTTCTAGCCTGAGATATCAACTTTTATAACTTATTTAAACAAATAGCAACTTTGCATGAATTACGTCTTGGGGGGGAACAAAAAAGATTGGTAGGTTTTAATTTTTAAAACGTGGTATCAGAAGTATAAAGAAAACCATTTCTGGCTGCACTTAATTTGGGGTGGGTGGAGGGGTTCAGCTCTGTTAATACATTTAAAGGGAAAACACCTTTAATTTAGTTCCTGGGAAAAAAAAAGTTACTATTTTATGAAGTATTATGCGTGTGTGTGTGGGGAAAAAAAAAAAAAAAAAAAAAAAAAAAAAAAAAACAAACCAAACACCAAAACATCTAAACATAATA